TAAAAAAACTAACTAAGTAAAAAACTTAAACTGCGGTGGGGAAGGAATCCATTACTTTGTCAATGAAATATATTTTATTGTAAAAATTACGTATATTTTAAATAAACCTCATTTTTGTCTAATTAATATTTCATTGTTCAGCAAGAACCACGTGAAGGTGTAGAGGTAAAGTGCAGCATTATTAATATAACCATTAGGTTTAAGCAATATCGGTAAAATTTCTCACCGTAATATCCATAATGACTAAATTCACATAAATCACCAAGTTCAATTAACTAAACCCACAGAATAAACCACTTACAAAAGAATCATAAAATAGACAAACTCATAAAAAAAGAATAAACAAAATATTGCGTAAATAACCACAGATTTGTTCTTTAAACAGTTCAGAATTTTATAACCAAAACAAACCTAAAGAAGGAATCTGTATTTATTTTATTGATTACTGTGATGGCTACAAGATGGCGATAGTGTTAAAATATGTATATTTTAGAATAGAAATATAATTTCGATTAAATCGATTTATTATAAGAAAAATAATACCATTTATTATTGAATTTTGAAAAACGTGTGAAGTATAATTTATCTAAAATTCCGCAACAGTGTTGCCACAACACCTGCTTATTTCCTTGGATGTAGGCGTGCCTGCCTCGCGTATGCTAATACGAGAGAAGGAGACAACTATGATATCGCATTTTAATAGAACGAGACAACAAGGCTAACGCCAATCGTGAGTCTAAATTAGTTCAGGCATGCTTCTGAGCCAATCATCTAGCTATAAATATTAGTTTAAATTGCGGTCGTTTCAAATTAAAATAATTTAAATGTTGCTGGGTATTCCACGTATAAAATCAATCAATTTTATTGACTATTTCACAATTCATTTAATCCAAATATTAAAAATGTATAGTATATTATAGAAAGTAAAATATTTAAATTATATTTAATTTTTTAATTCTCTATGATGAGGCAATGCCTCACCTGCCTCCCCTGACGGGCCGCCACTGATGGAATTACACAAAATAGGATGTTGGATGAAAATACAGAACTTATTGGCAAAAATTAAAGTAGATTAATATAGATTATGCGTATAATTCACTAAACTTTAAAAGGACTTTTGAAGTTAAGCTAAATTTTCTTAATTGGTCGTCCAACCCAATTCAGACCGCATCCAGGTAATTTCCATAATATTGTTGCATTGTGATATCAGCTTTGGAAATAGATAATAGTCGCTGAGTAATGCGGGGAATTTGACCCCCCTGTAAAATTAAAATACTATACAAAAGCTAATTTAAATATTTAAACTTACAATGTGTGCGATTTAATACACCACCCCATTATTTTTTAACGCGCGATATTGATATTGATATTTTTTGACATAGAGTTCTATTTGACCAGGTGAGAAAATTTTAAATTTTGATTTTTTCAGGCCTTGTAAATGTGTCCAAATTTAGAGATCGTTCATTAGGAATTTTTTTCAAAAAAAATGGATAGTGCTCTCGATTCAGACGTGCCTCAAATACCTTTATAAAAATGTTGTTTGAGTAAAATTTTAAAGTATAAAAATATGAAAATAAGTCCTCATGTTTTTTTTACAATATATTTACGCGTATTTTTAAATTAGGGGATTTTGTCCTCGTTAGATATCTGTTTTGTACGCATAATAGACATAAATACAGGTCAGCCAAAACGTAATAAATTTGAAAATTCGCTAAAATGCGATATGCAGTTTTTTGAAAAATGAATCATTGAAGACAGCAGAGGAAAGCGATTCCAGAGATCATTGACAATGATTGCATGCCTATATATCATTGTCGAAAAACTATGAGGATTTACTATCCTAATAAGTACTTTCAGGTAAACAAAATCACTCACTTTGAATTATATTTTTTATAAAACTGAAGATATTAACTGCAATATTTTGGATCTGAATCAATACAATACAATTTTAAACTCTGTTAATAAACAACTTGATCTAATCCTCTCGAATACCACCTGTGATATATCAACCACTCACTGTGAAATGCCATTTGTACCTGAAGACCTTTATCATCCGTCTTTAAATATAGTAGTTACTGGTATTTATACACAAGGCACCAAATTTCCATTAAGTAACAATAAAAAATATAATTTTAAAAAGGCAAACTTCATTAATCTATATCATGACCTTCTTAATACTAACTGGGATTTCTTAACCCAATGCTTCGATGTTGACATAATGGTAAGCGAATTTTATAAAACATTGTACACCGTCTTTAATTATTCAGTTCCAAAAACTCAAAGTAAAACTCATAATTATGCTTTTCCTACTTGGTTTACCAAAGAAATTAAAACTAACCTTAAAACAAAATAAATATATAGAAAGAAATGGCTTAAAAACAAGCAAACATTCTTTCTACTCGAATATAAGCGACTTCGTACCCAAACCAAAAGTCAAATTAATAATGCCTATAATAACTATATTTCTACAGTCCAAGAAAACATTAAAACAAACCCATCTGCCTTATGGAGCTAAATAAATGAAAAACGCGACACAACACGAATTCCAGGGACCCTTTATTTAGATGGCAAAGAGCTTACAAACCCTTCTGATATTGTCAACGCTTTTAGCATGTTTTTTTCAAAATTTTTTAATGCCAATCCTTCGCAAGCCGATAATACATACTTATCCAACTTAAATTTCTCAATGAATCTTGTAACTGAGGAAGATGTAATTAAAGTCATGGAAAAATTATCTAATAAATTTACGACTGGTGATGATGGTATTCCTAGCTTTATTGTTAAAGATTGTAGATTTGCACTTGCAAAGCCTATAACATTAATTCTTAATATGTGCATTAGAAAATCTACATTCCCACAAAAATGGAAAACGGCGCGTGTAGTACCTATTTTCAAGAAAGGCGATAAAACATTAGTTGAAAATTACCGACCTATATCCATTCTATCAAATTTTTCAAAGATATTTGAACAAATTTTATACTCCACCATATATTTTAATACCAAACAACGTATCTCACCCTATCAACATGGATTTGTTGTAGGACGATCAACAGTTACTAATTTGGCATCTGTCACCCAATATATTTCTGAAGTTTTGGATAGGCGTGGACAGGTCGATGTGATCTACACTGATTTATCGAAAGCTTTTGATAACATTAGTCATTCTATTTTAATACAGAAACTTAATGGTTTTGGGTTTTCTTCTAATTTCGTAAAACTTCTTAAATCATACTTGACTAATCGAAAATGCTACGTTAGTTATAATGGTTTTTCTTCATGCCCTTTTACTGCCAGCTCTGGAGTACCCCAGGGATCCAATCTAGGTCAACTTTTATTTAATTTGTTCATTAATGACTTACTAGCATCTCTCTCTTGTTTTACTTTGGCCTATGCAGATGACATTAAAGTCTATAAAAAAATATCTACACCTTTGGATGCTGAATTGTTACAGCGAGACCTTAACACAATTTCCTTATGGTGCACGAAAAATTCATTAAAACTCAATGTTGAGAAATGTGTTGTGGTCACATACACCAGAAAAGAGGTTCCTTACTTAAACCAGTATAAGATCGTCAACACTGAATTAAGAAGACAGAATGAGGTAACTGACTTGGGCGTCTTGTTTGATCAAACACTTTCTTTTGTACCACATATAAACAATGTTTGTTCAGCAGCCGGAAGGTCATTGGGATTTGTTATTCGAGCCACAAGAGATTTTGTAAATGTTTCCTTAATAAGGTCTCTTTATATGTCATTTGTAGCAAGCAAGCTGGAGTATGCAAGTTTGATCTGGTACCCAATATACACATGCCATCGCATAAATATTTATAGAGTTCAAAGAAGATTCTTAAAATACATGTATCTCTTAATTTATGGAACGTATCCAGAACAAAATGCTAACCTGGACAGTATCATGAGTGAATACAAAATATTGCACTTGGACACAAGGCGAGATTTGCAAAAGGGCACGTTTTTTAACGAAATTGGTAAGAGGTACAGTTGACTGCGAATACTTACTATCGAAGATTCAGTTTCATGTTCCGAGGAACAACTCAAGAACTTCTGTCTCCTTTCAAATTCCCACTTCCAGAACGAATATTTTATCAAAAGCACCAATAACAACCATGTGCAAAAATGGAAATGAGCTATTAGTTGATATATTTAAATAATAAGGATATTGTTTTTTTTTATTATTTTATTTCTTAAGTTTTTGTATTGTATGTTCGATATATTTGTTTTAAATATGTGTTATATATATATTTGATATATTTGTTATATATATTTATACCATTGTCCTGTAATTGGGAGAATCCTGTTGGGCAATAAAGATTATTATTATTATTATTATTATTATCATAAAATGCCAAAATTGTGCAGCATAAATACTATAGTATATAAACAAAAAATTAATGAAAAAAGAAACAATAAAAAATGTATGACCTTCTGGTCGACCAGAAAATGGTACAAATATTATTGCATAATCACATACAAAAATAACCTATGTGCAGGCAAGATTCAACAATTTTTGACATACAATTGTGGACCACCTTTTTATATAAACCTAACATTTTGGTTATATAGGTACTATATAACCAACAGGTTAATTAATATGATGATTTATATACGTTTTGTATACGAGGAAGGATTATAATCTATAATATAGAGGTAATGCGCATTATCTTTCGTATAATAATACAAACCAAGAAGAAATATAAATGAACAATTTCAATAGAGTGGTAAATATATTAATATTTTAGCATTTATCAATCATCAAATTCTATTCTTGCGTACCTATTATTTAAAGACAAAACCAAAAACTTCAAAATAATTGTTTTAAAACCTAAAATGAGAATAGCCTGTATAAATAATTATTGTTTTGCAATAAGGCATCTTTGATAACCTATCGGTATGTAAATAAATAGCCTCAAGGTCAATTCTATTATGTTAAGCATTTATCTATTTTTAAAAGCATATATGCGTATACGCAATAATAATTTAGTACTTATTCACAATGTGTGGTTTTGAACGTTGGGTAGGAAAAGTAGCAATAGTTACTGGTGCTAGTTCGGGCATTGGAGCAGATATTGCTAAAGAATTAGTCAAAAAGGGATTAAAGGTACCTAATTATGTTTTTTTTTTAATTAAATATTTAAATGGTGCCTTATAAAATACCACTTAAATAGAATCTCAGAATATGGAATTTTATAGCTGTGGCATTTGAAAAAGTGATCAAATGATAAAAATAGATATATTGTTTATGAAATTTCACTTGAAATACAAATATTGTTATATTACCTATTTGTCTATGATTGTTTATTTCGTAGACGATTTTTAAAAATAAATATGAATATTTGTGTAGTACTCAACATAAACTAAAGATGTATGGATATATATATGGTGTATTGGCTTATTTTAGTTTTTTTAGGTTGTGGGCCTTGCTAGAAGAAGCGAGAGAATAACAGAACTGGCCGGAACTCTAACAAATGAACCTGGTAAGCTATACTCAGTAAAATGTGACGTTTCAAAAGAAGAAGACGTCCTCAGTGCGTTTAAGTGGGTAAAGGAAAACGTGGGCTTAGTCCACATTCTTATTAACAACGCCGGCCTTATTCAAGGCACAAACCTAATCGAAGGAGATGTCCAAAAATGGAAAACAACTTTTGATGTTAACGTACTTGGACTATTGATTTGTACCAGAGAAGCTGTCAAAGTAATGAAAGAATATAAAATCGATGGGCATATTGTAAATATTAACAGTGTTGCCGGCCATTATCATTATTATTCTCCAGCTTTAAATGTTTATCCAGCTACTAAGCATGCTGTTACCAATCTAACGGAATCACTAAGAAAGGAGTTTAATGCCAATGATCTAAAAATTAAAGTTACTGTAAGGTTTTTAATTTCATATAAGAAACCATTTAAATATATCTATTTTTATTTAAGAGTGTAAGTCCCGGTGCAGTAGAGACGGAAATCGGTGGCGATACTCAATGGACTCTAAAAAATATACCAATTTTAAATCCAGAAGATATTTCTGAAGGAATTATTTATGCCCTTTCTACAAAACCACATGTGCAGGTAACAATGGCATTAAGATATTTTTATGCCACAATTTTTTCTTAAATATAAATAAATCTTGTAAATATATTTTTAGGTACATGAACTTATGATTCGTCCTGTAGGGGAACAATGGTAAATAATTTGAAGAAAATGATTATTTTCGTAATTTATTAAAATAACATCATAGTATTTATCATAATAATTTTAATATATTTTATAATTTTTTAATTTAAATTCAGTCATAAGTTTGGTTGCTAAAATACCAACTTAATTTTAATTACAAAAAATATATAAAATTATTTTTAAAGTTTGTCATAGGTAATTTAAATAAAGTTATTAACATTTTACGGATTTTTTTATTTTAACACTGCTTTTGATTTTCCACTATAAGCATTTAATAAAAATATAATTAAAAAAATATTTCTCTTAAGTAATATTGCCAAATCTTTAATTCGTGTAACGTATTTTTTTAAAGCCATGGGTGCCCCTACTAGGGACTCGAAAAAAACTAATTTCATTAAATGTCAGATCACTTATTGCCCTAACTGCATTTTTTTACCCTCGAATTCGTGTTCTTTGTTTGCCCAATTTCCTTTTCGAAAAGTTTTTAACGGATACGACCTATTTTCAGGACACAAAATTTGATGACTGTCCCAATGCAACTTTTTCGAAAATTTCGATTTCCGGTAAACGGACAAAATTGGACGGAAAAATCGAAAAAAATGGAAGGTGACGTCACGCTACTGTAGGCATATCGAGACTTACAAATAAAGTATAGGCAGCATTCGTTTTTATTTAAGCTAAATATTATTTTTTCTACTCCCACCTGTAAAACACCCATTATCGTACATGTTTCCATGACACTAAGTGACCTTTTAAATACACATTGACAAACTGTGGCTGTATGGCGCTTTAGTCACGGGCTGAAGTTAGCAATAGGTTTTTAGTCACGGACTGAAGTTAGTTTTAAGTTGCTTGACAGTTTTCAAATGTCATGCAATCGTTAAAATAAAGTGCCGTTCTTGTAAAATAATACTAAATGTGAAAATTATTTTATTATCTAATACAAAGGTATTAAATAGTGTCTTGACGCCAATATTTGAAAAGATTAATCTTTCATATATGAACGTTTGTACTGACCTTTTGATTTCTCCGTAGTAGTGCAGTTAACTAAAATTAACTGATAAAGCGTTAAAAATTTTGTGAACTGTGCCCATTAAACATTCTCTTCTCTTTTACTGTGAAAAACTGTATATCGATGCCTATTTTCAAGGGATAAATTTTGATTTACACAGAAAAATTGAAGATTTTAAAGCTGGTAGTTAAAAATTCCAGAGGGAATTAAAAAAAATACAACTGTCACTTTTTATACTTTTAACATTTCTTGTGTAAGAATTTTTAATATTTTGTGATAATATTAAAAATATTAAAAAAATTAAAGGATAACATATTTTTTTAACATAATTATATTTTTAAGTTTTTTTGAATACTTTAGAGTATTATTATTAGTATAATTAAAATAATAACGGGCAATGTTAATAGTAAAAATTACGTCAAAGATATTTATTGGAATGATTACTTACTTTATTCTCGTATACAAATATTTAATTTAAATAATTTTTTTAGATAATATTAGGTAAGTATTTGTCTGAGAAAAAGTATAGTATGCAACTCGTTTATAAACTTTTCCAGGCACTCATTTAATTAAATCAAATTACCTTGATTTATAATATACCATTATGCGCGCCTATTTAAACAATAGTACATAATTTGTTTTTTATAAAACAGTTTGGTTTATTATTAGACTTCTATATTGCACCACCAAAATAAACAACCCCCAACCCCCCCAATATGTTTTCTTCACTAATCCCTGTTTAATTATTTTTTTATATACGAGTCCTTACGCAATAAAATTGTTACTTTAGGAACGCCATATGCTACGTTTCCATGAAATCCCAGCGAAACCCATAATAGCCAAACAATCATAAATTCGTCTAATCCATAGAAAATAGTGACAACCGTGTTGAGTAAACAACAACTCTTGCGATTCCATAACAGTAATTAGGACGTAATTATTAACATTGTCGCCCCCATCGGGGCGGAGGATTTCGGTCCAGGACAGGGGCGGCACGTATCATTGCACTGAATAACAGTATAACGCTGTGTCACTAGACATCTGTTTACTCTCAGCGGGGATACATACAATTGCCTTCGGAAAATGTCTTTATTCGTTCCAAAAGAAATTACATACATAAGTTAATACTAATTCCCATTTGTTTATTTTATATGAGACAAAAAGGAAATTGTAGTTACGTATGATATTTGTATGCCACAGTTTTTACACAGTTTTTACATACTTGTACTTTATACAAAATTGATATATTATTATTATTCGTATTATATTATCCAGGGTGTACCACGATTTGTCAGAAAATAGAAACACTGTATGATATAAGCTCCAAAATACACATTTTATAGGAATAATTTAAATAAAGCAGATAAGGTTGACAGATGTATTTTTTAACAGTTTGTATAAAAAAATCAAAACTTTATAATTATCTAATATTATAATTATATTACGGTTTTTTAACTTTTTTTTAAATGTGGTGACGCGTTATTAAAATAGTATATTATGTATCAAGTTTGATAAACGCCATTTTATACACGAATTTAATTTAGGCACGAGCGAACTTGCGAGCGAGTTCTTAAATTAATGAGTGTATAGAAAAGTTTATAAACGAGGTGCATACTATACTTTTTCTACGACAAATACTTATTCTTATCTTAAATTGATTTAAATCAAAAATTTGTATAGAGCGCCATCTATGAAACAACAGGGGAAACTGTCAAATGTCACATTTTTACATTTTATAAACACAATTATAAATCGAAATGTATATTGAAAATTGACAGTTTTTCACAGTGAAAGTAAAGGAAATGTTTTATGAGGACTTTACAGTAGAGTCCGTGCCCGAATTTAAGTTATAGTTTACTGCCGGCAAAATTAAAAGGTCAGTACAATGTTTATATAAACTTTTCAAATATTGGCGTTGAGAAACTATTTAATATTTTTGTATTTTTGTATTGAGATAATAAAATAATTTTCACATTTAGTATTATTTTAGAAGAAAGGCACTTTATTTTAACGATTGTATGACATTTGACAACTTAAAACTAACTTCAGCCCGTGACTAAAAACCTGTTGCTAACTTCAGCCCGTGACTAAAGCGCCGTAAAGCCACAACTTGTCAATGTGTATTTAAAAGGTCACTTAGTGTCATGGAAACATGTACGATAAAGGGCGTTTTAAAGGTGGGAGTAGAAAAAATTATTTGCGGGAAGCAGAAACCACGCGTTGCGCTGAAGTCTGCGTCATTCGTAAATCGTAATATTTGTTTCGTTCAGTTTCGGAGGCTGGCCGGCTGGCAGCGGCTTCGGCAAAAATCCTTCGGTTGGATTTGACCGTAGCCGAATGTGTGATCGAATGTGCTTTTTTGGCCGAAGGTGGCCGAAGCCGAAGCTTCGGTATATAATGCGCTATTTTTTTTTTGTAATATGGTTAAATTTGAGCAAAAAAATGTTTTTTACAAAATAACGATCACAATTTTTTTACAGCTAGCTTCTGAAATGTATGTATTTTTATTTATATATATTATATATATATTGTTAAATTTTCATTTGTTTATTTTTTTTTATATAAATGGCAACAATGCAACATTTTAGATTGTTTATTATTATACTGCAAGAACATTTATTGACAAGTAATTTAATTTTTATCCAAATCTAATCAATCGTTTGTAAGTAATTAATTTTTGTATTTAAAAGGACAACATTTTTATAATATCCCCCGTATAAATACGAATTGGATTATCGTATATAATACCACTAGTGGTAAAATTTTACCGATAAAATTTTTGATTTTTATACGAATGTTTTTTTCTTGTAAATTTCGCAAGTGGCATTAATTTTTAAGACCACAAACCGCTAGGCGAGTGGTTTGAAGTTAATGCCACGAGCGAAATTTCCAAGGAAAAATCTTGAGTAAATAAAAATCAAAAATTTTTTCAGGGAAAATTTTATCACGAGTGGTATTCGGCAAGACTATTTCACGAATATTTTTAACTGCTGATTCAATTTCTGTATGATTTTTTGGACCAAAACGCATATTTTTTAACATTTTAATTTTAAAATTAAAAACGTCAACAGTGACAATTATTTTTATCATAGCAACCAATTGGTTGTTATGCAACTCGTATAAACGAGTGGTTTTTTCACCTGAATAGTAGTTTTATCGCTGCAAAACTGAAAAAACCACTCGTTTTCTGAAATCTGATTGGTCCAAAAAGTAATGAGTGGAATAGTCAATACAATAATTGTGGAATATTATAAGGCAACGTAATAGTATATTGCACTACAAGGGCTTCGCCTCGGGCATCATGGCGCGCAGTGCAGGAATCTCACACTTTCTGCCCGTGTAGTGTATACTATTTTTCTTGCTACCCGGCCGAAAATACAACCCAACCCAACCCGGCCGAAAATACGGGAAAAAATTAAATGTGTATATCGAAACATATTGATGCCTGCCCCGACATTTGCGGCATGAGCGAAGCCTTCGTAGCCCTTGTAGTGTAATATACTCGAAAATACGTTGTTTCGTCCCCGATTCCAATGCATCAAACGTAAATTTGACCAATGCATCAAACGTAAACTTTCTGCCATAGAATCGGGGACGAAACAACCTATTTTCGGCCGAGGTAGTAAGAAAAATAAGTTTTTACAGATTTCTATTACCATGGTAAAAACCTACTTCTTACTTACTTCACGAATTTTGACTTATCTACTAATTCAGTTAGTTTTATATTTATGTATTTCCCAAAAAGAACTTTAACTATAAAAACACAACATTTAAATAAAATTTAAATACGAATCGTGCTAAAAAATGTTGAACACTAAAAATTGATATCTGATAATTGTCCAACAGTTTTAACCTCACCCCTGGGGCTAAATAGCATTTCGCCCACGAGTTGAAGTTAAGAAATAAACAATCACGAAATTCATTATTTTACCTACTCTCAGCAGGGCCACGACATATTCCTTGCAAGTGTTGAATAAAGGATTATATTCTTCCCATGTTAATAAAAGCTTTTTAACAAGCAAAAACTCTAAACATTATCATTATTACTTATTTATTCATTATAA